TCTTCTCCTTTCCCTCTCTTGATTAGTTAGTCCTTGAGATCCTGCTTTCCTTTTACTTGTATTATATCTTTCTATTTGTATTTCTTCTTTGGAGTTCTAAGATGGCCTCATAATCTTTTTGACCCAGCCTCCCAAATGATGGAATTATAGGCATGGCTTTCCATGCTTCTCTGAAATTTTACTTCTGTATAATTTACTGTGATTTTTCAGGCTTATTCTCTGTAAATATGGAACCCTTCTAAGAAGGGAGATGGATTTTCTAGAGTAAGTCAAGCAAACAACTAGGCCTTAGGGAATACGAATTTTAGGAATAAATTTTGAAAAGATGCACAACACATATACTTTGAAGCTCCTTGAAACATTAAAGGAGTAAAATAAAACAAAATCAGTTGAGAGATCCTGCTGCTGTGATTATCAGTGGGAAGCTCAATATTGTTAACGTATCATTTGCCCCTAAATTTTTCAGTGGATTAAAAATCCTAAAAAGTCTTTTATTTTCCTTTTTTTTGGTAGAAACATACAATCTGGTTCTATAATTTATAAGGAAATAAATATGAAAGATGCAGAGCAGTGGTAGTGAACCCTTCTCAACTTACAGTGATATTATAAACAGACCACTGTAGCATGTGTGCCAAAGCTTTGCCACTGCTGATACAAAATAATCAGTTGTATACCCATTTGGGAAAAAGGCAGTTTCTTATTCTATGACCCATTCATTTCACTCTTAGGTATTTATCAGAGAATTACAATACTATATCTAAAATATATCTATATAAGAATACCTCATTTGTAATTGTCCTAAACTGGGAATACCAAAAAGTATTGACAAGATTTTGGATGAATTTTGGTATGTTCATAGAATGAAATAATTATTTAACAATAAAAGGCAGCATACAGGGCTGGGGATACAGATCAGTCGCATAAATGCCTGCCTGGCAAATGGAAGGTCCCAAGTTTGATCCCAGGTACCACAATAAAAATAAAAAAAATTTTAAAAGACAGCAGACTACTGACACTATCACATTGTTGAGTCTCAACATCATTTTTAATTTAACTACACGAATAAAGATAAATGTGAAATCATACTAACTCTATGAAGTTCAGCAGTAGGAAAAAGCACTTATAGAAATTGGAACAGAAAGCACCAGCAAGCAGGCTCAAGGGCCAGGGGTTCGATCCCCAGGCCTGCTATGCTGGCCCCGCCCCTGGGGTGCGCTGAGATCGCAATTGAGACTGGGTCTGGTGGTGCGAGCACTTGTAATCTCAGCTCTTGGGAGGCTGCAAACTGCAGATCACTATGAGTCTGATCTACTAGTGAGACCCTGCACACCCTGTAGACCCTTCCCTGAAATACAAAAAGAGGGAGAGAGAGAGGGAGTGGAAGAGGGAGAGGGAGAAGGAGAGGAAGGAGAAGAGAAAGAAATTAGAACATTGATTGCTGCAAGATGAGAAAGTACTGGTCAGGGCAGATAGCTTGGCAGTCTAAGTGCCTGCCTGGCAAGCACAAGGACCCAAGTTCGATCCCTGGTACTACTTGCACATGCTTGTAATCCCAACCCTGGGGAGACTGAGACAGGAGGATGACTGAGTCCAAGCTACGTAGTGAAACCCTGTACCAAATAAATAAGTAAAAGATTTTTTAAAAGATGATAAGAAAGTACTGAGTGAAGGGCACACAAGGGACTTTTCCTTGAGTGGTCAAAATGTTCTTGATTATTGTGATTACATGGATGTATGTATACATTTGCCAGAACTCACTGAACTGCACACTTATCTATGCACTTCACAGTGTGTCAATTGAACATTAAAAGGAGTATTTTTCCCCAATGGTTCTTTTTTCTCTTTCAAACATTTGACCTAATTCCAGGAATCCTCTTTAAACTTTGTTGCAGTTAGCAATAATATGTACCTCTGTTTTTTATTCTTCAATTCTTTTTTTTTACCTTATCGTGTCTATATTACATAGTTTAGTAGTTGAATCTTTTTTTGGGTTCCATTATCTGTTCTTTCCTGATGTTAATGTCTTTGCTATAAACTAGATTTCAGTGTATCTGTTTGTTTCCAACCAGTCTCTGCTTATACTTAAGATGTGTCACTTGTAATCATTATGTAGTTGGTTTTGATTTTTAAAGCAAGTCTTTGTTCTTTTCTTTCTTTTGTTTTTGGCCTTTGCATAACTATTGAAACTGGTTTCAAACTTAACACCTGTTTGCCCTGTTTGTTCTTTTAAGAAATTGTTATTGTTACTATTTTGTTTTCCCCTAGAATTGTCAGCTGTGTATTCTTTTAATATATTATTCTGAAAGTACCTTCTTTAAATACTTCTATTTCTCTACTTTTCCCTCAGAGAATCTAATATATATTTTCAATAAATTCTTTTAGATTTGTTCTGTTGCCTTAATTTTTTTGAAAAACTTGAAATGTTTTTATAAATTTTATTTTAATTAATTAATTTATTTATTTATTTTTGTTGGAACTGGGGATTGAACTCAGGCCCTTGCGCTTGCCAGGCAAGCACTTATCCTACTGAGCTATCTCCCCAACTGAGCTATCTTCTTTAAAATAATTTTAAAGAAGTTTTTTTGTTTGTTGTTTTCAGAATCACACCCAGAAAATTTGACACTGTTCAAGCATCTGAACATTACAAAAGTGGGATTATTACCAGCGACATTGGAGAATTAACTTTAAAGAAGAGGGAAATACGAACATCATTTACATTTAGGAAAGTGAGGCACACACCTTGTACCTGTAGTGAGTATATAATTTCATTTCTACTATAAAATGGATAGAGTAGTACGAAAAGGATCCTATTTTCTAGATAAAGATCTAGTGAGTTTTATCTTCTTATGCCATGTCCTGTGTTTTGTCTTCATTGTACTTTGATGTACTTTCCTCCCCTGCCCCCTTCACATTCTCCATTCAGAATCTAAAATCTTTTTATTTACAGAGTATAACTCTGCATTAGTTCTTGTAGCCTCGGCTGGCCTGTCTGTCTCAGGCATGCTAAAGCTTGTGGCCCTTGGAGTGGATGTAGGGTTTGATGTGGCTATGGGTTCCTGGAACTTTTTCAAAGTGTCGGTACATCTCTCAGCACTTGCGTGGACCAGAGAGCAGGACCATGCCATGGTCCTTGGGGGAGTCGAGGGCCGGCTGGTCAATGTGAGGATCTTATACCCAGTCTTGAGAATGTGGCTGCGGGCCCACGTGCTTATGCGCAGAGCACAAACCATTAGCTTGGGCACCTCCAGAACCCGCACGTCATTGTGACGGTCCCCATGACCACCATTGTTTTATTTTCCCAGTCAGGCAGCTTCATCTTCCAGATCATCCATAAAAGGGAGAGAGGTAGCCAGTTGGTACGACTCATGAACAACCTCTTCAGTACAACCTGGTTGAGATAGAATTTGTTCATCTGGCCAGAAACCTATACAGCTTGACCATCAGCCTCAGGTAAATGTCCTGGCTCTTGGACTCCTTGCACCAGACCTTCAGGCCTTGTTGTGATGGATGTCTACTCCCATGATGATGACTCCTCCACAGTCAATCCCAAAGAGAGTGCTGCTGGGAAGGATGGGGAAAGCCTCCAGCATGGCACCCTAATGATGTCTTACAAACCTGACACAGTGCTCTACCACAAGCTAACATTCTCTGTGGTGAATTCGAGACTTGTAGATTTAATAACCAAATTCAGTAGCATAGCAGGACACAAAGTTAACACTCAAAATCAATAGCATTTCTATACACAAACAAAGTTACTGAGGGAGAAATTATGGAAACCACACCTTTTACAATAACACCCTCAAAAATGAAATACTTGGGAATCAATCTCACAAAGGAAATAAAAGATTTATACAGTAAAAATTATAGTACTCTGAAAAAAAAAATAAAGAGGAATTCAGAAAATGGAAAAATATTCCTTGCTCCTAGATAGGAGGAACCAACATTGTGAAAATGATCGTACTCCCAAAATTGTTATACAGATTCAATGCAATCCCAATTAAAATACCATTACTATACCTCACAGATCTAGAAAAAACATTCCTAAAATTCATCTGGAACCAGAAGAGACTTAGAATAGCAAAATTAATCCTGAGCAATAGAGGAAAGGCAAGAGGCATCACAATCTCTGACTTGAAATTATACTACAAAACAACTGTGATAAAGTCACTATGGTACTGGCATAAAAACAGACCTGAGGATCAGTAGAACAGATTAGAAGATGTAGATACAACTACAGGCATACTCAGCCACCTCATCTTTGACTAAGTGGCTAAACATGATCATTGGAAGAAAGATATCCTCTTTAATAAATAGTGCTGGAAATACTGGCTTTCCACATGCTGAAGGCTTAAAATAGACACATGCCTATCACCATGCAGAAAACTACATTCAAAATGGATCAAGGATTTAAATATTAAAACTGAAACACTAAATCTTCTGGAAGAGAAAGTAGGTAGAAACCTTGAGGACATAGGGGTAAATAAAAAGTTCTTGAACAAAAATTAAACTGCACAGGAAATATTTCAAAAAATCAGCAATTGGGACCTCATCTTGAAAAGTTTCTGCATGTTAAAAGAAATCAGTGGAGTAAAAAGAAAACCCATGAAGTGGGAGACAATTATAGCAGACTATCTTGTCAGAGAATTCTTATCTATAACATACAAAGAATTTTTTAAAAAATCAGAACTCCAGCATTCAAAGATCCAATCCACAAATGGGCATCTGAGATGAATATACACCTCATCGATGAAGTATACAAATGGCAAATAAACATGTGAAAAAGTGTTCCACATCATTGGTCATGCAGGAGATACAAATTAAAACAACTCTGAGAAGCCATCTTATGCCAGGAAGAAGGGCTATCATCAAGAAGTCAACTAATAACAAATGCTGGAGAGGCTGTGGGGAAACAGTGTTGGTGCGAGTGCAGGCTGGTGAAAGCATTATGGAAATCAGTATGGAGATTCCTCAAAAAGCTGGGATTGGAGATCTCATTCAAGCCAGCTATTCTCCTAGGTACTTTTCCAGAAGAACTGAAATCATACCACAGTGATACATGTGCACTTCTGTTTCTAGCAGCACAATTTGTCACAGCTAAGTCTTGGAAACAGTCTAAATGCCCACCAACTGAGGAACAGATAAAAAAGATATGGTATTTTTACACAATAGAGTATTATTCAGCTATAAAAAAAAGATAAATTTGGGGCTTTTGTAGATAAATGGATGCAGCTAGAGACTATATTGGTAAGTGAAATCAGACCTGCATGAGCAAACATCATATAGTCTCCTTAGTATGAGTAAAAAGTGGAGATAAATAGCAGGATACAAAGAGTAATAAAAATCTAAAAGATACAACAGATAATGTGAAAGAGAAAGAAATTGTTCAATGGGAAGGAAAAACTGGGATGAGGAAAAGAACAAATGAAAGAAGGAGAAAAACAGGTTTATATGCAGACTAATTTGGATGATTATATTGCCCATTTCTGCTGGTCATTTGAAAGGAGTACTTAATTCTTAAAATTTTCCCCTTTACTCTTTTTTTTTTATCTTTTGAATTTCTTATAACTTCTTTGTTATTGTTTTTTTTTTTTTTTTTTTTTTTTTGGCAGAACTGGGGATTGAACTCAGACCCTTGCGCTTGCCAGGGAAGCGCTTATTCCACTGAGCCATCTCTCCGGCCCCCTGTTTAGTGAAATCTTGAGTCATTTCTTTCTTTCTTTCTTTCTTTTTTTTTTTTTTCTGTCACTATTTTGTATTCTTTAAAAATAAAAAAATAGGGCTGAGGAGATAGCTCAGTGGCTTCACTGCCTTCCTAGCAAGCACAAGGTCCTGAGTTCACTCCCCAGTACCAAAGCAGAGAAAGCAAGCAAGCAAGCAAGCAAACATATGCCTTCTGCTTTCTAGTTACTTAGGTCCATTTGGAGAACTGTTAAGAGTTTAGAACTAGAATGCCTTCCATAATCCCCGTGTCCTGGAAGGGGACTGGATCATAGGGCACCTTACTCCACAGCAGAGCCACTTTTGGTGAGTGCAATAGCCAGACCTGCTGTGATGGGGGGACCTGTGTGGAGGGCACAAGCCGGCAGGCAGATGTCCCTCCCCCACTCCCTTCTTGGCTCTTGCTTTTGGCTTTCATGGGGTGACCACCTTCACCTCTGCCATGCCCGTCTGCCTCCCATTCTTGCCTGGAGCCAAGTGACCACAGAATTAAACTGTGACCCAAAATCAACCTCTTCTCCTTTAGGTTATACATGTTGGGCTTTTGCCCCAGCAGTGAGACAGTGACTAAGATAAGAGATAAGCTAGTGTTCCTAATGCCTGTGTTTCTTAGCTGCGGGCTTTTATTAAATCTAATGGAAACTCTAAGAAGCTCCAATTGGGTTTACAGTTTTTTTTAATTAAAAGATTTATTTGTTGTGAACAATATGGCTTTGAAATTTGTATACATTGTGAAATAGCTAAATCAGGCTGATTAGCATGTGCTTTATCTCATATAATTTTCTGTGGTGAAAACTTAAAATCCATTGTCTTAGTGATTTTCAAGAATATAATATATTATTGTTAAATATAGGCATTGTATTATAAAAACAAGTCTCTGGAGCTTACTTTTCTAAGTCTAATTTGGTGTCCTTTTACTAGCATCTGCCCGACAATTTCTCCCTTCACCCTCAGCCTTTGGCAGCCACTATTCTACTCTGCTTCCCTGAGTGCAGTTATTTATAGTCTCCTTGTAAGTGGGTCATGTGACCTTTGTCTTTCTCTGCCTGGCATACGCCCCTTAGCATATGTCCTTCAGGTCCGTGCATGCAGTTGCAAAGTACAACGTTTTCTTTTTAAAGAATGAACAGGGCTGGGGAGCTAGCTCAGCAGTCCAAGCGTAAATCATGCTGCAGTGACTGTGGGAGTGGAGAGGTCTCTTTTCTATACTCTTTCATTTCCTTTGGGTATCTGCTTCCCACCAGAGAGGCTGTTGAATCATGCAGTTCTGTTTTCAATTTTCTGAGGAACCCTCATGCCATTTTCTGTAATGACTGTTTTTCCTCCTGCCAGCAGATGTGCAAAGGTTCTCTTCCCACATCCTTGGTAACTCGTGTTATTTTTTGTCTCTTGATAATAGCTCTTCTAACAGATATGGTGGGTTATCTGGTGGGTTGCATTTACATTTCCCTAATGATTAGTAAGATTTCCTTTTTGTGTTCATTCTTTATATACTTTTGGTCAAACTTTGCAGATTTTTAAGTGAAAAAAAGTTTCTCCTACCTTTAGACAACTTTGATGTTTTTAATTTTCAAGGTAAAATTTTCAGTTTAGAACAATTGTAATATATGTTATGGTATACTTGTAATTCTGTTATAATCAATGTAATATAATTTACCTGCTTTCACATGTGTGTTTCAGAGCCCTCCAGCTTTTAGGGTCTATTTTGTCTTTTGGGGACAGGGTCTTGCTGTACAGTTCAGGCTGGCTTGGAGTTCACTTTGTACCCTGGCTATGATCCTCCTGCCTCTGCCTCCTGAGTGCTGGGATTATAGGCATATACCACCACACTGAGCCCAGGATATTATTTTCTCAAATATCCATTTAAAGTATTTAGCATTTTCTTTGCCCATTGATGGAGTTAGGGTTTCTCAAGGTTGGGCTAAATTTGGTTATATTTTGTTTTATGTCCAATCCCGAAACCATGAAAACTGCTGCAAAATTCTTTCTTGTTACCTGATTTCTCCTTACTCCTGAAATCTTGGCTGTGATTTCTCTAGAAATATTACTTCTTCCTTTATTTCTAGGATAGTTCCAATGACCTGAATGCCACAGACCTTGGCAGAAGACAGATTATAGCATAATAGAAAATAGGCAGGAATGTATGAGTAGTATTTAGCTGTTATTACAGAGAATAGGGAACAACTTCAAAATTAATTTGAGACATTAAATTAGGAATTTCCTCTGTTTTCTCCTTTGGGTTTGCTCCTTCTGTGGAAGAAGGCAACCTTGTATTTATTGAGTACAGTATCCCAGTTTGTGGGTCCAAGTTTTGGCTGTATGATTTACTATCTCTGTCATTTTAGAAATGTGATTTGCCTTCTTTGTGCTGAATTCCCCTATCTGTAAAGTGGTTATATTAGTCCAGACTTTATGATATTGAGGTGAGAACTGAGACAATACGTAGAAACTGTTTCAAATAGTGCTCAGTATGTGCTTGTGAGTATTACCAGATAACATGCTGTTTCCACATTTTGTGGTTGTTCTGAGTGTGTAGTGTCCCTAGAACACTTATCTCCTTTACTTGTCAAGGGAAAAAGTGTTTAGCTGTATCCATTGCAGTTAGTCTCCACCTATCTAGATTATTTCTGAATAAAAGGATTCTTAATGCTAAGTTGAGATAGGCATCTGCATTCTAAGGCAGACTCAGATTATAGTCACATTTTTCAGTAAATGAGGGTTTTCCTCCTTTTTATGTTACGTACCCTCTTCACATATAATTGACCTTACTAGGGAAGAAATTGATTTACCTGATAAATAGAGCCTTTCTGTTTTTAGTCACCAAATTTGCACTGATTTTGTTTTAAGAAAGGTTGGTACTTTGTGCATCTTTGAGTACATAGGGGTTTCTACTGCTTCATTTTTCTCATTTAGGTTACTCCTTGGTCTGTGACAGCCAGAGGAAAGAGACTCCTCCCTCATTTCCAGAGAGTGACAGAGAAGCATCACAGCTGGAGCAAGAACATGTCCATCGAGTTTATGAAGAGATCGCCGGGCACTTCAGCAGCACGAGACACACTCCTTGGCCGCACATCGTGGAGTTCTTGAAGGCTCTGCCGGATGGTTCGATCGTGGCTGATGTTGGCTGTGGAAATGGAAAGTATCTGGGCGTCAACCACGAGTTATACATGGCAAGTGAAGTTGCTTGACTTCTCTGTTTGCAGTGGTCATTATCTTTTTTTTCTCAAGATGTATGCTGTTTTTAAAGGCATTACAAGAAAGTTGTAGCAGCTTAAAAGGTAGTGAGCATTTCCTTTCTTTTTTATTCCCTTGGAAATTTATGAGCATGCCATCAAGTGTAGCTTTTTGCTCACTTTAGATTTTTCTTTTCAATAAAACTTTTATCAGTAACAATTATACATAAAATTTTTTGTAAATTAAAAAGTTTTTTTTTGTTTTTTTTTTTTCATGGAAACAGATTTCTTTGCTGGGATCCTCCTAAGTGTGAGAAAGTAAAGTGAATGTTTTAATTGGTCTTATAAATAAGGAACTGATGCTTTCCAGAGATTCTCTTCTCTGATGTTATATAATGAGAAGATGTAATGAAATTTGAACTTCCAAATAAAGTGTTGTTTTACTTGTGGTAGAAAAAAAATGTGGTGCTTATTGTGTCTTGCTGTCAAAGAAGATAACACTCAGATCGGTTATGTGCATTGGTCTCAAAACACAATCAGTTCAAATTCTTTTCTGAGGTAAGTATGTACCTGATGGATGATACAGTTTTTTTGGTTGTTATTCATAATTGAGACTGCCAGTATAAGCCTCCATCACACCAGCAGTCTTATTTATAGGAATATGTTTATATAGGCTTATTCTATATGCCTTTGGTCTTATTTTGTTTTTAATCTATATTGACCACTCCAGAAAAGAACGAACATATGGGGAGCTAACAGTGGCGACTGTCTGCCGGGTACCAACGAGTGCTGTGCTTGTTAGCTCACATGTACAATCAGCGAGACTGATCGTGCTGTCTCCACTTTGCCAGTGAGAATACTGAGGCCTGGTCAGGTTAGGACATGCCCAAGGTCGCAGAGCGTCAGGGCAGGTATTGCAGCCTCATCTCGGACTGCACATTCCAGACTCTGGAAAGCCAGAGAGACCTTACAGACTCACTGCAGTATCAGAGAGCACCAGGCTGTAAATGCCACCATGGTAGAAATCATGTCTGTTTTGTTCTGCAGTTAGTTGACACCTAGTAGTAGAGGCTTACTAATGGATTGCTGAAGCGTAAGGAGCAAACCTGTGCATTTGCCTCCAGTTTCTTATGTGAAAACGTTCATGAAAGCCAACATACATGCAGTGCTGTGTTCTGCCACCACGGAGGAATGTGCAACCTTAAACTGAGTGGGGTCCTGTCTAGATGACGGACAGGGCTCTTTGGCCTCGCTCCTTAGGTAACAGTTACTAACACTGCATTGTACTTTTATGGTTAATGAACTAGTCAGTCTCCGCATTTCATTTGACCTCTGAGTATTTTTATCTTTACTTTTTAGAGGATGAAACAAGTTCTGAGATTATAAGTAGCTTTCGAAAATTGTTCAGCTAGTTTTTGCTGAACACCAGGATTTGGATCTGATGTTCAGCAACTTCTTTCTTTGCACTTTAATGTTTTATTATTTCTCTACACTTTAAATAATTATCTTTTTATGTATAATGCTTTGAGGTTTCTTTTTAATTTTATTGAGAAACAAATAGCTATGAGACAGTTTCAAAACTGATTAATAGGACAGTTTCAAAAATTAATACATTGTACATTGTTATCTTCTTAGTGGTTATCCATAGTACAAGATGCAGACATGATATCCTGTCCAAACACTATTAGTACAAATCTTTCTTCTCATTGAATTAAGTGAAAGTAGCTGTATATCTATCTTAACATACAAAATGGTCCTTCCTTTGTATCCCCTTTTTTTATTTAGTCCTGTCAGAGATGGTTATTCCATTGGCATCTAAATACTATAGGTGCTTGAATTCAGCAAATCAATCCAACACAGTCCAGCAGTCCACAATAGTAGTGGGTTATCTGCAGAAGTTGTTGACTTCAGCCTTTCACAGCTCAGCATATTAGTATGGCTTTACTTTATATACCTCGTTTTTATACTTTTCTGCTGGATGGTTAAGACCAAGATAAAGCAAGATCTGTATAACAAGAAATGTAACTTTCGTATCTGACAAGGTCAGTCAAGTCCCCTCAGGATTTATCCTGTAACCCTGTACCATGGTTTGCAGATCCTTTGTCATTGTCAGCCATGTGGATGAGTCACGGCCATTGCTTGACCAATTTGCTCTCTCTGAACACTTTAAATAATTATCACCAGCCTGATTTTCCCATAATTGCCTGTCTTCTTAATAATTAAAAAGTCATGGTTATTCTTAAGAAAAGTTATATAACTATGATTTAGAAAACTTATGAAAGGTAACCACCAAAACCCTATGACCTAATAAGTCAGTGTATTGTGATGAATATCCCTTGTCTTCTTATGAATATTTTACATAGTAATGAGCATGTATGCAATTTGATAATTCATTTATGTCGCTTGATATTTTCATTTTGACAAAGTTTCTTGATTTTATGTTACTCTGTCAGGTAGATGTTACTGAGTATTTGGTTATGAATTACATGGTAGGACTAGACCATAGCTTAGTGGTATAGTCCTTACCTGCATGTTTGAAGCCCTGGGTTTGACCCTTAGCACCACCAATAAATAGAAAGTTAGAAGAGAGGGTGGGGAGAGGGGAGAGAGGAGAGAGAAGAGAGAGAAAGGAAAGGGAAGGAGGGAGGGAAGGAAGAGCGAAGGAAAGAAGGATGGATTGATTGAAGGGTTGCACAGTTAAGATTTTTAAGAAGGCAAATATATTAAAGTATTCATGCTAAAACAACATTTTTTTAAGTTTATAAAACACTAATAAATATGTATGTATTTGTATATATTTTTCTACAACATTGATATTGAGAGACATATAATAAGGAAGAGTATGGTTTTTTTGAGTAAGACCCAGTTTTTAAATCTCTGTTCAAAAAAAAAAAAAAAAAATCCCACTACTTTATTGTTAAGCTTTGGGAAATTACTTTGAGATGAAGTTTCCTTGTCTGTAATATGGTGGTATTTCTCCCTAACCCAGAGTACACTATGAAGATTGAATACATTAATACGAGGATTTTTGCTTTAATATGCAGAGGTATGTTAGTGAAAAGCTGTTAAAGTAGCGATTAGCTTGATTTTAAGTGGTCAAGCTAGTTTGTACTGTCACCAGTGATATATAAGAGAAAGTTTTATTATTCTGCCATCACTGTGGTATATATTAATTTTAAAACATTTTGATAGTTTTATATGAAAAACCTTAAACCTTGTTTAATTTGCAACTTGATTGTTAAGTTGAACCTTTCCTAATTGCCTGTACTTCCAGAATTTTTGTTGGAGATTTTTTAAAAAGAGTAAAAATATATTACAATGACATAAGTATTTTTATGTCATTGATCTCTGTCCAACACACACAGATACAGCTTTATAATAGTCCTATGTATATGGAAATATTTGTAAATAAGCTATTTTCTGTCCTGCTAGTGAGGTTCTGCAACATGATTATGGAGCATTAACACTCTGGTGATTGGCCTGTAGCACGCAGAAGACTCATGAGGCGATTCTGTGACAGTGGGGAATCTACCACAGGCCTGGTGTATTGTGACTACAAGTACTAAAGTGCTATGTTCTTTTTTGTTGCTAAAAAGGAAGGCTGTGTACAACGAGCTCTGAAAGCCTGGCAGGAAGAGAGAAGTGTCTTCTTGTTTTATTTGGCTGCTGTTCTCCTTGTCCTCTTTTATCTGTGGTTCTCAGATAATAACTCTCCTCCCCTGAGCAACTATTGAGCCCTTTCTCTGAGGATTTGTCTTATTGGCAGGTTGGATTCCTTCCTGTTGGCTTTTATTTAAGGTTTAGCTTGTGATGAGAAGTGGGTATACTTGAAACTTCTGATTCTGTGACCTGAATTTAAATGTAACAAGGTGGCAAGCACCAAAAA